AGTACGCGCGAAGACAACATGTTCCGAACAGCGTAGCTCTGATAAGCAAGTGCAACATCACTGGTATTTGCAGTACTTTCGAGCTCTTGCAGCAACTTCTTCTGTTATACTGCCCCATGGTCTCCGGGAAACCCCCAGGGACTTGCCACCCAAAACCCTAACTGAACAGCACTTTCAGCCGCCAAAAGCGTCGCGCTGGCCCTTCGGAGGAACCCGAAACTCGAAGCTCCAAAAAGACCTCTGGGGCCTTAAAAAATTGGAATAGGGTTCCAATAAAGGGTTTGGGTTAGGGGTTTAGGGTTTAGGGTTTGGGCCTTACAAAATTAGAATAGGGTTTCGTTAAAGGGATCCTTATAAAAGGGATACTATAAGGGGTTACTATAAGGGGTTCTATACGAAGGGGCCGAAATAATTAGAGTGGGGTTTTTTTGGGGATTATAACATATCATAATTATAGTATAATATATCCGCAAAGCCTATTCTAATTATTTGTAAGGCCCCTTTAGCAACCCCTCTGAGACATCCTGAGCTGAACTTCGGGCTTAGTGCTTTCAGGACTCTCGAGCTTCTAGGGCTTCGGGTTTACGATTTACGGTTTCGTTCTAGGGCTTAGGGCTCTTGGCGTCCAGGGGGGTATGGCATGGTGAGCTTTCACCCTAAACAACACTAAACCCTTCAAAGCCTTTTGCCATGCATACACACACAGACGCGCGCGCACACACACACACAGAGTACGCGCATGCATTGAGCAAAAGAAATGCAAAGTCTGTGCATGTCCAAGCCCTGTAAACCTCACCGAAAAACAAAAGCTTCTGGGGACCCTCTCAAACAATGCAGTGCTCTACAATGCCTTATGCAAGTCTGCGAAAAACTTCCCCCTGTCCCCCTCCCGCTCCCCGTAGAGAATCCCTTCAGAGGATCCCTTTAAAGATGCCTATGATAGGCTCCCTATTGTAGATCCCTGTAATAGGCCCCCCTAATTTACAGGACCCCTTGAAGCGCCTGTCCCGAGCCGGGATAGCCCGAATTCATTGGAGCCGGGAGACCCGAGACTGGGAGGAAGCGGCTTTTTGGGGGGTCTTGGGCGGGTTTTAGGGTTTAGGGTTTAGGGTTTAGGGTTCAGGGTTTAGGGTTTGGGGGGCGGTTTGGGCTGTTTTTGGGGGGTCTGCTGGGGGGGGATTCTGGGATTCAGAAGCTTAGGGTTTAGGGTTTGGGGTTTAGGATGTTAAGGGGTTTGGGATCAAGGTTAGGGTTGTCAAGGTTTCTAGAGGGTTTCATAGAATGACCGGGCATAGGGGGCTTCGTGGGGTTTAGGGTTTTATCGGGTTAGGGGTTTAGGGCTTGGGGTTTCAGCTGTGGGCTTGAAGTTCAAGGTGTGAAGGGCTTCGGTCGCTTCGGGTTTGGCATGTTGCCTTTGGGTTTTTGGGGGTTTGCGCCCGCGGGCTGTGTTGATTTTCCTTTAAGGCATCTTTCACGGGCTCCTTTACGAGATCCTTGCGAAATCCCTGCGACCATCGGTTTTCGGCTTTGAGGGGCTGAACCCGTGCTTGAAGGATCAGCGGCCCTCAGAACCGGGGAGGACGAGCCCCAATAACTCTACGATGAACTGCCCAGGCACCTACCAACATGGGTCGTTTTTGGGGCTTCAAGCCTTGGGCTTGCAGGGCTTGGGGTTTCGGAAGCTTGCTTCGAGTTCAAGAAGTATGAGCTGTCGCTTTCGAACCCTAAACCGAGAAACCCTGAAACCTAAACCCTAAACTCCTAAACCCTAAACCGAGAAACCCTGAACTATAGGAATCCGCAGGCTACACTGCTGCACCCCAGAGCCCACAATAGCCCCAAGCTCCGAACCTCACCCGAAAGCCTCAAAAACCCTAAGCCCTGAATCCTAAACCCTAAACCCTAAACCCTAAGCCTAAGAAACCCTAAGCCCTGAATCCTAAAACCCGAAAGCCCTGAGAAACCTCAAAAAGGCTTGGCTTTCGGAGGGCGCTGCTTCGCCAAAAAGGCCGAGGACGAGGACCCTACCAGGATAACTGCAGCAAGGCTAAAACCTATTCTAGAACACACGTCTTAAAGAAAACCCCGCCACGAGAACCCGACACGAATCCTGTTAGAGGAAGCCTCTGCCAACATGTAGCCTTAGCTACGTTGGGCCATTGCGCCTCTTGCTGAGGTGCCTGGAACGATTTGAGGTGCTGTCAAAGGAGGTACGAGTAGAGGCTAGCGTGTAGGGTGCTTCGAAGGAGGCCAGCTTGGGAAGAATGTCCACCAAGGCCCCGGCCAACAACAGCACAACGGCATCGGCGTGCCCGCTGGAGTGGAACACCCCAAGGTTTCTGAACCGCAAAGCTGACACGAAAAGGCCCCGGCGGCCCCGGCTTCGAACGAAAGAGACCCGAAAATGCAGGCCTTTTGGGACAAGCCTAGGACTGACGGGGGGTCAGACATCGCCTCAATCTGGGAAAGCTTCTGCAAGGGCTTCGTCGAAGCAAATCCTGCAAGCGGACCACGGGGACCCGCGGCCAAGGGAAAGCCACTCAAAAGTCGTAGCTCTCTCAAGCCATTTGCCTGGAGCCGTCTCCCAACATGGGGTCTGTTTTGATTTCGGTCGGGTGCTCATCTTTCCAATGCCGGCTCTTGCGACTTGGCGGTGGAGCCACAGGGCCGCTACCACCCATGTGACATATGTGGCCCGGTTGCTCTCTAAAAGTCTGAGCCTCCGCCGAGCACATGAAGACACTCTAAGACCTGAAACTCATGCAGGCTGCCGCGGGCTTCACTCCTTACACCAGAGGGCATTCTCCTTTGTCGGTATGCTTTACCGTCATGCCATCTGCGTCGAGGCATCCCCGATAGGCGCAATAAGCCACATCGCAGTTGCCTTGCTGATAGGGCTGATCGGCACCCCTCATTTAAGACTTGGGCTGCCCTTGCCCTCATTTGAAGACACTTGCTTACGGTTCTGCACACCCAAAAAAGTTGCATATTTGACTTCTCAGGGGCCCCCATGGTCGTTGTCCATACGACACTGTACTCCAGCAGTAGTATGCATGATATCCATATCCGTCTGGTTCAAGTGCACCACTGGCTTGTCACCCATCAGCAGCTTGTTTATGTAGTTCATGTGCGGCACAACAGGAAGGAGCATGTCGTTCAGAGACAGGCTGCTGTAGTCAGGCACTCTCTGCTTCGCTAAGGCACACAAGTTCCCAGATACGTGCGTCAAGTATTCGTAATCATTCAAGGCTGCCGCGCGCGAGATGTTGTAGTACCCGTTGATCGCGCACCAAATGTCAGTATAGTCCCGCACCATCAAGGATGAGCCGCTTGGGAGGACAACCTCCTTTTGCGTCTCCAGGTGGAACGCCTTGCAGGAGAGTGGAGTCTGAAAAGCTACCCCAGATCCTGGAAGACTTTTATGAACTTCACCCACACCCAGGGTCTTTGAGACAGATTCCGGCGCGGCCCAGCCTCACCGAATCCTACAGGAAAGGTTTTTGCTTCGAACTGAACTCTCTGGTAGTCGTACTCCTGGGCTGGGGCTTACAGGGTTTAGGCTTTTCGAATCAGGGTCAAGGGCTTGGGCTTCGGTCTGCACTTTGCAGGTGGGAAGACTTCGTGGTTGGGGTTTTCGTAAACGTCTTCTTGCTGTTGCTGTCATAGGGCTTCTTGGTCTTCTGGCTGGTTCTGTGGTCCTTTCCAGAACTGTATTCTTGTTGATGGCTGTTGGAACCTGCTGGCGACAGGAGACTATGCATGATTTGCATTCGTGAAACTACCGATATTCAACGTCATTCAGATACACAAGGGTAGAAAGCCAGACAGGTAACAGAACAAGGCTAGCAGGCAGTCCACGGGCCAGGGGGACACGGAAGGCAGGGACCGACAGACCGGCGAGACAGACAAGGCATGGCACACCAGAGCAACCAAACGAACAAGACTGCCAACATAGGCAGACATTTATGACGCATGTTTACATGTTTGACATGTGCCAAAAAATGTCTCTCACGTACATCGAACCTCACAGACCACATGCATGCACTTCGCGCTTCATCTACTTACACTCTTTGCACGGGCCGCCCTCTGCAAATCCTAAGCCTAACGTCTCAGCCCCTAAACCCTGAGCTTCCTGAACCAAACCCTAAACAGGCCCCTAAACCCTGGACCCTGAAGCTGAAACACTTAGGGTTTAGGGTTTAGGGTTTAGGGTTTAGGGTTTAGGGTTTAGGCCCCAAACCCCTAAACCCCTTTCGCCTTGCCCGTAAAGCCTGTAAGCCCTCACCCCTGTCCGCACATAAGACGACCCGAACTCGTTAGAAGCAGAGCTCCACGTAGCCACGGATGTACCTGAGCTCTTGTTGGGGAGCTGAATGGACGGATTTGGGTTTGGGCTCGAGGCGTTTGAGTTAAGGAAGACATGAAAGGGCTACCAAAATAGGAAAAATTCAACAACTGCTATGCTTCCCTGTTGTAGCTGCGACAAAGTTCCCCATGTCGTAGTGAAGACAACATACCATGTGGCTGTGTACATAAGACCGTCATAGGCCAGCGTTAAATTTTGAAACCACACTCCTGAACACCCTGCGTAGCCCAACAGCACACTTAGAAAACCTCCCCCAACCTCCAAATTAACACTGAACCCTACACCTTGAGCTGCGCCAAGATCCTTAAGAAACCCAAACCCTAAACCCTAAACCCTAAACCCTAAACCCTAGACCCTAGACCCTAAACCCTAAACCCAGGCGCTTGTGCTTCCGCGCCATGGCGCAGGCCAGGCTGAAGTTAAAGCCCTTCGCCTGCTGGAGGGCCGGGCTTGGGCTGGGGTCTGGTGAAAGGTTTCGGGCTTTAAGGGTTTAGGGTTTAGGGTTTCGGGCTTTAAAAGTTTAGGGTTTAGGGTTTTAAGGGTTTCGGGTTTCGGGTTTTAAGGGCTCCTACAAGGGCTCCGTTAAGAGTTGCTATAAGCGGGGCCTTAATGATTAGAATAGGCACGATTTGGGGGCCCGTTTATAGTATAATAAAGATTAGGAACCACCAAAATAATATAGGTAATTATTAAGGCCCCTACTCTAGAACCCTATATGATAGATCCCTTGTAGAACCCTTTAAAGGAACCCTTCAAGGATCCCTTCTATAGGTAACTATTTAGGCCCCTACTGTGAGGTCTGTCTCGGACGGCTTGGCAAAACAGAGATACACCGTTGGGGTTTAGGGTTTAGGGTTTAGGGTTTAGGGTTTAGGGTTTAGGGTGGTTTCGGGCTCAGTGTTTTGGAGTTTCCGCGCACCTTGGACAGGATGCACCAGGCATCCTCGCCTGGGTGCTCATAGAGCACTTCGGTGATGGGCTTGTAATAATCCTCGACGGATCGACAGCCAGTTGAAATCCAAGAAACAGTTTAACTCTTCTTGTTCTGCGCCTGCGAAACACTCATTACGTTTCAATGCATCATACATAGCCCCAAGTGTTCAAACTGTTACTTCGCTGAATCTCCAAACTTCAGCTGTGGAGCTGAAGATCTCAGCTCCTCAACCCCTGAACCCTCCGCCTTCAACTCCCTTCGAACTGCATGTCCCCATCCGGCTCTACAACCATCTCCTCTTCAGGCGGTGGCTGTTGGCAATGTTGCAGCTCACCTGAACACAAAAATTCGGGATTGTCGCTTCGTCGCTTTGGGGCATTTCACGAAATCCAGCTGACCTGACCGCCCTTGTTTGATGCAGCCGGTTCTTCGTTCCCGGGCATGTCAATGTCAATCACCCAGCAAAACCCAAACCAAAAAGCCGGGTAAACTCCAAACACTAAACGGGTGGAACATGCAGAATGGTGCAGACAGGTACAATCGTAACAGCTCCTGGCCTCTTGGAAACCACTGATCCCAACACACAGCACACAGCAAGATCAAAAGGAAGCAACAGAATCGAATGCTATTTCTAGCCCTGGCACCAGGAGCCAGGGCAAAGAAAGATTCCACCGCTGGAGGAGGCTCCAGAGCCTCGGACAAGCTCAGGCTTGGGCTTTTGTCAGGCTCCCGACAAGGCCTACGATGCAGCATTCTCACCGTACCATGCCAAAGAGCTGTCTGAAGCTGGAGGTGCGATACGGCGCAGTGCTCGTCCTGTGCAAGACTGTGGACACCCGGATGCGTGATTCACCGAGGCCATACAGACATGAAAGAAACCATACTCCTTGCACGGATAGACTTGTTGCTGGCGTTGTTAATGCCTGTGCTCGTAATGAATCGTAATAATGTGACTTGGAACATCAAAGCTTGGGGCTTTCTTCAAAGCCCGCCATCACTCCTGGCACTCTGAATCAACGCCGCCCTTGCTCTGGGTGCCGCAGGCGACTGTGGCAGCGATGACGGCAAAGCGCAAGAGATTCATTTCGCACCTAACTCGGTGCCTCGTGGCTAAGGCGAAGCTCCGAATAGAATGAGTAAATTAAAACAATCTTGCCAAGATCAGCCGTGCTTCCCAATGCAGGATTTCGCTTTATCATTGTCATTGTCTACATATAGAAACACCATCATCAGAGTACCCACTAAAGTTTCAACCGTTTTGTCCGATCGAACCCATAAAGGGGGAGGTCGCCCCAAATTGTGGAACCTTCGGCATCGGATCACGGGTTGCTACGAGCCCCCGTGGTTGAACGCGAGGTAACCCAACATGCCCAAAATATAACCCAATGCCGTAAACACCTTTGAACAGCGGCCCGAAACATGCGACACTCGTAATATAAACTCACTACCGTACTACTTGGGGATTGCCATGCGGAGGCTAGCCTGAATCTATGTGACATGTATGTTTCGCGGAAGCTTCCCGCTTAGAACAGCAAGATTTCAGTCAGCATCGCGGCGATGGTTCGGTGAGGGCGTAACCTCCTCTCGCAGAAACAGCATGTGTTACCATCAAACGCGTCCCTATTTGGAAGCTTTCAGCAAGGAACATTCGGCACGACCACAACAGAGTTAAATGCACTAACCCGATTGAAGCCCAGACCCGCATACCGAGTGAGGTTCGAAAGCTACTACATTACTGTTTGAGAGTTTTGTGAAGTGGGATTTTTTCAGAGGCAGAACACCTAGGGGCCCACGAAAGGCCCTTGAGCATGCCGCGTGTGCTTTGTTTTGCCTGCTTCACAGACTGCTTCTGACAGAGCGTTTAACAGTTGGCGCGCCAAAACTGCAACTATCGCGGCGCTTCTTGCTCGAATCAAAAAAATCACCTCTTATCCTAGAATTGGCTTCTGCGTCAATTGCTAAGTTTTTCTATTCCTTCGGTCATTGTGACAACACCAAGAAACACCAAAAAAACGGGCCCAAATTCCTGGCCAATGTTTGAACCGGCTTTTAGAAATTCTCAACTCCAATAAAATGATCACATTTTCTCTCTGAAGCTGGAAAGATACAAACCACAGCTTCTTCTAATTTGCTTTGGTGGTCCAGCTCTGACAAGAATCATGTCAAAACAAATCGTTATGTTCTTGAGCTGCCAAGCCGGGAAGAGGTAGACGTTCAGTTGACAAGTGCAAGAAGAAGAACGACAAGATGCAAAGTACGCTCACTCATACCTTGGGCAGATCTCCGTCCGGTGCCACGTGGCCTGGCTCACAGAGGTAAGCGAAACATCACCGGTGCCCCAAAAAGTGCAGGAAGAAGAATCTAGTTGCGCAGATAGTGGCGTCATTCATCAAAATTGTCTCGCAAAAGTACTTGTCTTGGCCACAACCGGGGCACTCATCGTCGGGCCCCTGCGGTTCTGCCTGATCTGCCGTGGTAGCGCGGGCAAGTGATCACAATGCTCAAAACGATCTGCATGCAGTAGTCATGCTGAGTCCAGTCGGGAATGATGCAACTGAACCAGAGGCCTGCGACAGCCACCTGAGCGACTCCAAAGGTGGGGTTCAACGCGATGGCACTGTCGAGGATGTTTGTCAGGGCACCTTTCCCCATGGAGGCTTTGAGGTCCCTCTTGTCAACACTTCTTGGGGTCCGCACTGCCCTGGCTTCTTGACTTGGTAGAATGCTCTGGGGTGCGGCAATCTCCTTGCTTCAGCTGTGTCTCGTTGCTGAGCCCAACATTGGAGAGATCCCCGCCGTGTGTAGAGCGCTTGTGCCACTGTTTTCATCACTGCTGTGGCAAATGAACGAATGGAAGGGTGTTTGCTGGAAACAAAGCGAAGACCAAAGCTCTTAAGGGATACTTGGGGATTGAGGGCTCCAAGAGGTGAAGATCCCCAGCTGAGACCTTTAAAACGGGTTTTAGCTTCAGGCCAGTAAAACTCCAGAAACCCCAGTCGCTCCAAAAGAAATCAACTCAGGCCCACATTGCGCCACATCTGAGACCTGCTGTTGTCAACAATACATGCATGACAGCAAGTGAACATCAGACTTACATCTCACACCACACCATCCTCCACTCACCCTAGATGGCGGAAGATCAGTGGAGCTTGAGAGCTCCGGTGTCTGTCGAGAAAGGCAACTTCAGAAGTCTGAGATACACCCAGACCGCTGCCCTTCCTTCCCCTAACACCCCAAGGACCAGCTCACGGTTCTCTGCACAGATTCTCAGTGATTATCAATCGCTGTCCCATGGCTTCAGCATAACGCAAGCTTCTGATTGCTGTTTTGCTCTGCTACACGTATGTCGACCACGCTGAGGTACAGGGCCATAGATTAGCACTTACCAAAGGTCGCTAGATTGCTGTCGTGCTTGCCTAAACCAGCGTTCACACAGAAAAACGCATGCCAATAAAATGCATTCTCTTGAACGCTGGTTCCTGCTCTTGTTCCAGGAGTTTCTAGCTCTGCAACTGATGTGTTCCGGAAACGCAATGCGATTGGAATTGCCACATTAAGGCTCTTTGTTTTTTACCAAACAGTAATTTGAGTTGACAAATACAGAAGCCAGAACACTTTGGATCTTAGAATACTCGAACAGTCTGCAACAGTAAACATCTTTGTTGAAAGCGGCTCTCTCTGGGGAGGGTGTTCCAGCGTTCCACTCTGTGTTAGCTACAGGCCTAAGTTCGAGACATAGGTCAGAATTTGGTACTTTCGAGCACTGTCGATTCTTGGGCCTACGGCCCGCAGCTCGAGCGATCTTAGGGGCTCTAAACTGCTTGCAAAACGGGATGTAGAAGAGCTTTAGGGGCGTGGTACCGGCGAGCAGCTGACGAGTGGCTTGCGGGCAGCCGACGAGTGCCTACCAGCTACTTGCTAGCAGCTCACGAGCTACTTGCCGGCAGCCACGGGCAGCTTACCAGACTGCCTTCCGAGAGCAGCTCGCCGCTTCGATCCGGTGCGTAAAATTCGCGGGATGAGAGCGGAATGATGGAGCGCAGTCACCTTTTCGAAAGACTCGCAGCTTTCCGTGCTTCAAAAGTTAAGCTGGGCACCTGATGCTGCCAAGATGGCCCTCGGCCTGCATTCTAAACTGGAACGCTGCAATCGCCACCTTGAGATCCGCTGGCAATGACCAGCAGCGCACTGATGACTATCGATGCTGTAAATGCACAGGGAATCCTGTGGTCCTGCTTCCAATGAGCAAGCGGCACTCACCATCCCCAACGGCGTCGCTGACCAGCTTCCTCTGGTTGATGTTGTCCACAACTAGGGTTCCGCATCACGTGCGCCAAGCTGGAATTTCATCGACTGGGACTGGGTCGTGGTGGCCTGGACCAATCTTTTAGTGGCACATCCGATCTGTCCAGCATGAGCGGTGAGCGAGTGAGCAACATCTCGAACATCGAAAGCCTCAAACAGCGTCCAGATTGCTCGATTGTCCACTCCAAGAAGAAGACTG